TTTTCCTATGTCAATTAGCACTGTTAAGCTATTGTGGCATGTGCAGACTCGGCTGAGTAAACAGCGTGAACAGTTAGGGGCCTGAGTGATTGAGAGGGTCTGGTTTTCTCCATACAGTGTGCAGGAGGAGCTGCTGGTCTCTTGGGGGCCCGGCGCTCTAATTAAACAGGCAGCTGCTGTGGGGGGTGTGGGGGATGTTTCAGACAGCCAGACCGGTAAACAACAGAGCCACTTTTGTCACCATCTCAGTTCCTTGTAGATCAGTTACCTTTTTGACACTAGGAAGGGGAATGAAATTTTTTCCATAAATTATACTCCTCAATCTCCCTGAGGGAAACATTAAGAGACGGAGGTGAGGAAAAGAATCTGAACATAAAAAGGTACACAAACAGGTTTGGGTAAGATTCCCATTATTCCTTGACAAAACACCTCAATGCCAAGTTCAATCTGAGACAAAATGATACTTGTGGCTGCAGGGCTTCTTATGTTTTACAATCACAATAAACAGGTTTAACTTGAAAACAACACAAGTAAATGTTTGCAGGATAGAAAATAATCACAAGTGTCAAAGCCAAAGGAATCTGTGGCTTTGGTATCATTTCCATGTGCTGCAAATCCACAAGCTGTACTTTCTTGTGCTGAAGCTATTGATGTAGAATAATAAAAAGGCATCATGGTTCAATTAAAGAGAAATAGTGAGGTGCGAGATGCCCTGCTCCCTGCATCCATCCTTCAAGCCCCCCACAGCATGGGTGAATAAGCCAAACAGTGATTCATGTGCCTTAAAGGTTACTGGCAAAATGCTCAAACGTATTGTAATTACCTTTGTCTTTTTGATTCAGCACTGTGTAAAGACTAAAAGTGGTTACGACGCACTTTAAAAGATTCTAGAAAGATTCAAGATGACCTGCTATGTAATTATTCTAAATGCTACTCATCCTTAAAGCAACTCATGTCTGGATTATTCACAGCAAAAGCTTTTTGTTATTGATTAAAGTCTATAATCTGAAGACAGACGATCTCTGGAGCTTTAGAAGTTCCTCACTTTTGTCCTTCCTTTTTGAAGTTTGTTGAATAAAATACAAATACAAACCTACTTGATACTTGTTAATTAGTGAGGGAATGAATATTTCAATTAGGTTCCTTTACAATTAATTAATTAAATCCATATAATGAGGAACAGTTTTTTAATCATACTTAACAGGGAAGCATTAAAACAAAAATGATACCCTCAACAATTTATTCTAACCAAGATCAATGCGGTAAAGCTACAAGATAAACGCTTTTTTCCATGTAAACCTGAGTTTCTGTCCTAACCATTCACAGCAGGACATTTTGTCAAGTTTAGCTTCTATTTCTGTGGCATCACACAGGACAAACCCACCCACTGTGAAATCATACTGACAACTGGACCCAAGAATATATCTAGAGACAAGAATAAACACAGGAATTTGGGGCAGTGAACAACCACCTAGCAACTACCTGAACACTTGATAAACCACAGAAATACTAATAAACATTTAAAATACCCTAGACCAGTGGTTCCCAACCCTGGTCCTGGAGGCACCCCAACACTGCACATTTTGCATGTCTCCTTTTTCTGACACACCAATTTCAGGTCTTGGAGTCTCTACTAATGAGCTGATGATCTGAATCAGGTGTGTTTGATTAAGGAGACATGCAAAACATGCAGTGTTGGGGTGCCTCCAGGACCAGGGTTGGGAACCACTGCCCTAGACAATGCATAGCAATGCCCTGCTAACCATCTTCAACTTTGCAAAAGCCTGAGTTTTGAAACTGTAAAGGCCTGTTCACACCAAGATGAATGTTCAGTGCCAAAATTCGGTGCAATGAACATTTTAAATTTGAATCAACAGCTGTTAATGCAACTATTCTGATAGAGACAAATATTCCCAGGCTGTTAATGCACCAGATTTTTTGTAAGGAAAGGGGTTCTAATATCTTTTCCATCGCACTGTGAATACAGCTGGCCAATCAATAAGATTCACACAAAAATTATGACTATTTTTTACAAATAACAGTGAGTTAGCGGAGGAAAAATCCAGATGTGGCTCTCTGAGCTCTTGCATTTGGTGTTGTTTGATAAAAAAATGTGATTGTCTCTTTGAAAACATGTATATACTGTATGACTTTCCCTTCATGAGTCAGAGTGTCAGAAACTAGGGCTGCACGATTAATCGAAATTAAATCGCCAAGGCAATAAATCGCGATTAGGCAGAAGCTGCGATTGTCATGCGTATCTTTCAGTGAAGCACGGTTTTGTGATCAGTAGTAAATCTCCATCCGAAGGCCAGAGGGCGCTCTCACACAGAAACTCCAAATACGCCTCGCAGAAGAAACCCAGGAAATGCCTATAAGCGGTTGCTGAATAAACAGAATATTTAACTGCTTTCATTAATTCAACGTGACTAATAAACACATGACTACGACAATATATGGTTTATCTGAGTTCGTCTTATTATAATTTTTATTATAATAAAGTATATAATAATGCAATGCTAATCGACAGCCTTTATCACTGCTTAAAATACTTTGAAATATGTTGCGTGCCTTATTCTGTGTAAGAAGCCACATCATCTCGCAGAAAGATTTATTTCAAACACTCTGACGTTATGAAGTGAGTTTAAAGTAAAAACAAGATACGCATGACAATCACATTCGATTAATCGTGCAGCCCTATCAGAAACGTAAAAGTTGCCAAGTGATTTGCTTTTCTGTAAGTGCCACCTACTGTCAGAGAGTGAATTTCATTCAGTCCATCTGCAGTTTTTTTTTTAAATACACATTAATATTAACAGACAAATCGCATACGAAATCAGCCTGAATGTTTGTGCTGAACATCTGTGTTGCTGTGAAGAGGCCATAAATATAAAAAATCTAGTTTATATACACACATTATAAGCCAGTAAAGTCACATTAAAGCATCCCGACTCTCCCTTATGGCTGAAGAGTAGAATCTCTCGTGCTCAAGAAATGTCCCTCGGCAGTGGAGAGCGTAGCGGTATGTGAGAGTCTAATGACCGTCACCCCGGCGCACCTCACATTGTGCTCACTCATTCAAAATGAGTGTTAACAGCAACCATTTAGCCAGAGAGTATGGAAGGCCATAGCGGCCTGCCCTCAGCCATTCCTGGTCCACTGGATGAATGAGACACCAAACAAAGTCCATGCCACGGATATGTAGCAGGTGCCATCAGGGTCCCGTGCTTCATGCAGCAATCAGACGGATCAGCCTCAGGGTAAACAGTAATTTATTCATCCAAAAATCAATGACTCGTAACAATATTTTGCATGTAAACCATTTTGGTGCTGCATACAGAACGCTGTCAGGTGAACACGCAGTTGTTTGTACTATAATTATCGTCATCATTATTTATTATGATTACTGTTGTTGCTTTACTGACAACTAAAGAGCAATACTAAGAGCAAACTTGTTGCAGATTAGTAATTTTGGACCAAAGGTCCAAAAAAATTGAAGGCAAAAAACGAACTGGATTTGATCAAAACAGCAGAGTGCTTTTTTTCTGGGTGAATAAAAGCTGAACTGCATATAATGCACAGCTACCGTTAACTAGAAGCGTATCTGAACATTAGGTGCTAAAAGGCGGCATCCCTTCATGCATGCCAAAGCAGAAAGGAACAGAAAGCTGTGAAAGGCGAAACAACATCGAAACAACTCCTTCATAAAGAAACACATAGATTATTCCTCAGAATATTATCTGTGACCACCCACACCCACTACCAAATTAAAACAAGCGGTCCAGATTGAGATGTTGCTGCAGTTGTTTATTTGGTTTATTTTAGTTGTTTATCAGTTGACGGGCTTTGTGCCGTCTGATATCCTGGACACCTTGCATACATCACTCACAGAGCTGCGAGCTGCATCCCACCGACTCCACCATCCACTGGTTTGTAAGCAAGGATGTGTTCGCTGTGAGTGGGTGGACTGATTTCCACCTGAGAGGGCAGACTGAGGGGGACACAGCCACCCTGGAAATGGGGCACTTTTGCGAGTGGCGGTGCGTGACCACCAGAGAATGTGTTTGTCTGGATTTTATGTTTCTAAACGAAACATGGCTAGAAGACAGCTGCAGTGCAACAGTCCTCAATGAAACAGCCCCTCCTAACTTTACTTTCATGAGTGTCTGCAGGACTGTTAGGAGAGGTGGAGGTGTGGCTGCTCTATTTAAAGATGTCTATCAATGCAAGCAAGTGTCATTTGGTCAGTACTTGTCTTTTGAATATCTAGGGCAGTGGTCAACAACGTGGTGCCCGTGGGCACCTGGTAGCCCGCATGGAGTCTCTGAGTCGCCCGCCAAGCACGTTCTTTAAATAGCCTAAATTAGCGATAAATGATATCATATCAGAATCAGAATCAGAATGAGCTTTATTGCCAGGTATGTTTTCACATACGAGGAATTTGTTTTCGTGACAGAAGCTTCCACAGTGTAACAGAATGACAGTGACAGAACAAAAAACACAGATAATAAAAAATAAAAATAAATAAAAAAGTAAATAAGGAATAAAAATATATAAATTGACAATTGTATGTGCAGGTATATTACAATAGACAGTTTTGTATGTACAGGTACTGTATATTATGTGCAAATTTGAGGTGTAGACTGAGTGTTAGATAAATAAGTGTATGAGTGTATAAATAGTGTGTGTTCCACAGTTATTGTTAAGTGTTCATGAGATGGATGGCCTGAGGGAAGAAACAGTTCCTGTGTCTGGTCGTTCTGGTGCTCAGAGCTCTGTAGCGTCGACCAGATGGCAACACTTCAAAGAGGGAGTGTGCTGGATGTGAGGGGTCCAGAGTGATTCTGCGAAACTTGTACATGCCTTTATTACCAGCAGGGTGGACTATTGTAATGGTCTCCTCACCGGCCTTCCCAAGAAGACCATTAGACAGCTGCAGCTCATCCAGAACGCTGCTGCCAGGATTCTGACTAGAACCAGAAAATCTGAGCATAGCACACCAGTCCTTAGGTCCTTACACTGGCTACTGGCATTTTAAAGTACTTTTACTCGTTTATAAATCACTCAATGGCCTAGGACCTAGATGCATTGCAGATATGCTCACTGAATATAAACCTAACAGACCACTCAGATCATTAGGATTGAGTCAGTTAGAAATACCAAGGGTTCACACAAAACAAGGCAATATATGAGGACATGAACACATGCACTTCATCTTCAGAGCTGCTCTGAGAGTCACTTCACCAGCTTTATGCAGTTTCATTTGAGAAAAAATACCGTCAAATACACGCTGAAACTAAAACTAAAACTGAAAGACCTTCACGACAAACCGTCAAAATAAAAGTCTGGTTTTACTCGAAATTATATGACTGAATATATTACTACTGTATACTACAATGCAAATGCTCTCTGACAGCAAATGCAATGAGTTTGCTTCCTTCTTTTCTGAGAAGATCAATAATATCAGGGAGGCAATTAGCACATCCTCAAGTTATGCAGAGGTCAGACAGATTCGACCGCAATATCAAAAAGAAGATACTATGTCTGTTTTTGAAGCAATTGATAGCAAAATTTTGGAAGATCAGATGTGCTAAAAAAACAGTCACATTTAAATCTAGACTCAAAACTCATCTGTTTAGCTGTACATTTATTGAATGAGCACTGTGCGATATCCGAACTGATTGCACTATTTTATGCAATCTGAACTGATTGCACTGTATTTAATGTATAATCATTTTCTAGTCTTAAATTCATTTAAAATAAAAGCATGTCAACATATTCTGTTACACCAAATACACAAAATAATGATCTTTAAAAAAGCATCATATGACCCCTTTAAACCGCATAAACACATTTCATTACACCAAATACACAAAATAATGTTCTTTTTAGCAGCATCATAAGACCCCTTTAAATCATTATCAAAGTTTTTAAATTCCTTGTTTTATTTTTGTGATTATTTTTTATGATTATTTTACTTTCTTTTATGTAAAGCACTTTGAATTACCATTGTGTACGAAATGTGCTATATAAATAAACTTGCCTTGCCTTTTATTTATTTATTTTTTTCACCTCCTGACTTCTTCCAGAGGAATGGTTGGCACCTAAGAGAAGGAATATTTGTAAATGGACAACCTCTGACTGCTTTTGAGTCTGTGAAAGTGGCTTAGCAGTAGTCAAAGCAAAAGCACCTCTTTGAACTCGAGCATGTTCGGTGCAGAAAGGCAAATGTTTGGTGCTTAAGAGAGCTACTTCTTTAGTAGAGGCAGCAAACTGTGAAAGGTTTTTACTAACACATGGACAGTTTCTAAAAAGATTTTAACAATTTGCACCATTACGGTAATACAGTATTAAAATTCTATATCAATTTGTCTAAAGAAATTAGAAATAAAACACTAAAAAATAAAATCCGTCATTTAAATGCTACAATTGAAATGTAAGCATCACAAAATTACAATGTAAAGCATGAAAATGTATATTTATTTTGGCATTTGCTAAAGATTACACTGAACAGTGTTATTAGACACTTTATTAAAAGTGAATTTAAATTAAAATAATGAAAATATACAATATCAACATATAAGCTAATATGTGGCTAAAAACTCTGGCCGCAGGCAGGAAAACACCCTGGATGGATGGCCAGTCCATCGCAGGGTTAAACTACTTTGGCATGCCCATCCAAATTTACTCATTCATTTCCATGCTCACTATATCTGTACTTGAATTTTGCTTCAAGGGAACATGTTAAGAGCAAGGACAAAAACAAAGAACAGGGCACACAGGATATGAATATGAGATTTTTCCAGAAGATTCAAATGGAAGTTTCAAATGGTCTTGTACCACAGCATTTCTATTATAACTAAATTGGCCTGGATTTCAATTTTCTGAAGGCCGGCCACTGCTAACCATTCTTGTCCTGCGGGTTCTATTTTAAGCTACTGCTATGGAGGCAAGTGTGGATGTGAAGCAGCAAGAACTGGGATAGTGCTTGAATACACAGCTCCAGGGAATTATACCACAAGAAAATGTAATTGCTTTGCACAGGGGCACTGGTCTTTACATGTAGGGTGGCATGTGTCCGCTGACTTTATCTACATACTAGAATGGGACCAAAAAAAAGGCAGTAAAAAAATAAAATGTATAATGAATTTACACAGTATATATGTAATACAGTGCTAGAGTGGGGTTCCGGAATTAAAAATCACATTAATTTTCTCCATAGGGAAATTTATTTTAACGATAACTTAAAGATAGACCCGTTATGATCTCTGAGGTTGTTAATCAATAGCATATGGATTTTGTTGAAGCCATCAGTCTGCATTATTTTACTTAATTCCTGGTGAAAAACTACAATTACCCGTGATTCTATTAAAAAATCTCTAACAATCAGGAACGGCACTTTTGTTAAGACCAAACTTACTACAGCTATTTTCTAAAGTTTTTCTTTGGTGATGGTGTGAACACTTTTTTTTTTTTTTTTTAATTGAAATTTCCTATAAATGCCTAAAGTCAACATCATTTGTTGAACAATCTTACCATTTAAGAATGTTACGCTACATTATTAAAGTCCAGCCATTCCTGGTTATTTTCCACTTTGCTTTGTAGAGCTGCTTGGTAATACATTTCCCATCTTGTCTGTCCTCTTGATCTTCTTTCATTGCTTTTTCGAAGTAAACTGACTTATTTCCTTCAAAATACAAAAAGCACTGCTGTGTAGAAAATGACTCAAATTTTTCACTTGTTTGGATTCATAATGATGCCACCACTTATTGCCCACAATTCATCTGTGCCCATATGAATGCAGAAATCGACAGATCCATTGTAAGGCTTATTCATGTTAGATTACTCAAAGATGCTGATATTCACCTCAATTGTAAACCAATCAAAAACAACCATGTTATTGCTAGTACTGTATTGTTATCTCTAGTACAGCGAGTACAGGCTGTGTTGTCCTTCACTCACGGTGTTTCTACACATGAATAATGCATTTATCAGAACATGACAAAAACCATTTCAGGGTATTTGTTAGTGCTGGGCGGTATACCGGTTCATACCGAATACCGGTGTTTATTTTTGTTATGATATGAATTTTTAAAATACCGCAATAGTTAAAACAACGTTCTGAACGCTACACTGTTTGAAAGGGGTCCCTTTTCACTGTTGCACTGTGGTGAGGGAACAGCTGTATGTTACTAAGCGTGAAAGTTCAGAAACTGAAGCTGTAGAACTAATAGAACGTGATGACACAGAAGAACTCATCCACAATATCCACATTGACCGCCACAAATATCCACCGCCCCCAGCCATCCTGTATATTCATACAGACAAACTTAGCGACCTTTTTGGATAAACCTTAGCTATGGTTCAGTTGGGAGATTTCGCCAGTGCTGTCCCGCGAACGCGAGGTCTGACTTTCCCGGAGAAGTGTCACCTCTCTCGGCGTCTGTTCTGTGCAGTGAGCGGCAGAGAAGCAGCGCATTGGAATTGTCACTTGCACAATCGAAGCAGTGTCACATCGTCACTAAAGTTTATAAATTGCATTACTTTTTAATTCTTGCCAGTG